CCAGACCCCTGCGGAGGAAGCAGTCCTGGCATCAGCAGCAGTCGGCGGCACAAGATAAAAACACCAATGGTCATGGTGGTTCACGCGACCTCAACCAGCTTCTCTCTGAAATTGGTGTGGACACGAGGGAGTTGGCGGACTCCTTCAAGGTAGTTCGTCTATTCGATGGTTACCAGAGTCCGGCGGTAGGCGCAAACGGAGCACAGGGAGTTTTCCAACCAGAGCAAGAACGTTCGACCGATCAGAACTCTGAGCCAGAAGAGGTGGAGGTGGCGATTATGGCTGGGTCACAGCATGAACTACTAGCAGCGGTGGAGGATGACGACAACGCCAGCACGAATTCGAATTTAAACACAATGTCTGACATACCCAGCATAACGGCTGCCGCAGGCGACGAAGAAGAGAAGGAACATGAGACCCTTTACAACAGCCCTACTGAGAGGCGTCACTCTAATATCCCTAGCTTTCCCAAGTGTCAGATCAACTGTTGTCGCCTAGTTGACCGTGGCACACAGACATATTTCACTGGCCCCGTCATGGCGACACAGGTCTACCACGATGAGGTCGTTTAAACCTGTAGACACTAAAACATGCACCTAACCTGTCCGGACACTTCTTTTCAAACCCCTCCAAAATAGTCATTCCCCCATCACCAAGCCAGTTGTTATTGTATTTTTTGTGAGAAATGTCCTTTTGTAGATGTATTATCGAGTCTTATGGACCGTCGTTCTGCACAAAGAAGTTTTGGCTTTAACAGGCACCTGAAAAATATTAACGATCTCTCACATGCACTAACATTTATTTTGTGTCCTTTTCACGTACTGGGATTTCTTTGTTATCCTTGTAACTTCCATTTTTTAACTTGTTCACTTCTGAAGGCTGTGATCGGTCAACTTCATTTTGGTGGAGGGGTCTTTATCACGAATACTTGTCAGCACGGATTATCCTTCCTCCTTATTGGCTGCACAGGTCGTTTAAGCATTTGATACTTCCTTACCACTCCGTGAATTTTGTTGCGTAACGTAGAATAAAGGGTTTTATACTAATAAATATTTCTCTCTTGGTTGAATTTCTGTGCACGCAAAGCAAAAAGGCAATAGCATTCTGAATCGGCCAACACGAAAATCCCTAAGTAACACAAGAATTAATGTGCCTCAATCCTTTAACACAAATAGAACTACATGAACAGTTGAGGCGTAAGTACTGGCATTCCTAGAGCCTTTATAAGTCACTTTTTGGAAGTTGGCTGTTTTAGCAATAACAGCAGAGTAATGAACGAATAATTAGACCTCCATCCTGAAAAGCTAGTGTTTCCTAAAATTCCTGGGTGAAACACACTTGTGAAAAATAGACGACGTGCTCGTATTTGTGCAGACGCAAGACTTGGTGAAGAAATTACAATGCAAGATATTGATTTTTTGGAAATTTTGTCTGTGCTGGGACTAATTCACCGATCCCTCTTGATTGCAGGGCACGAGTAGCAATTCTGTGTTACCTTTCGGTTAAGGAGCCTATAGCTCATTACACTTCGAGTTAAGCGGATGCATTGCATCCCGAGAAATATCGAATAGTACGACACGATGTTAGGATGCGAAACGGAGAAAAGGAATAAGGCTAGACTTAAAATTCCGTATCCATTTTATTTTCTCTTTTTGTCCCTAGAGTATGAATGCATTCGGCATGTTAGATAGAGAACCCTAAATAATCGACAGTTATTATGGACACTGCCGCATGAAAGCAGCAAGTGTTGACACTCAGAACAAGTAAGTGACCTAATTTTCGTTTGCGTGAAACTGAAAAACGTGTTTTTAATCCAACTACATGCATGTTGTGCAGTTCTAACTGGCTTTCGATGCGTATAACACAATGAAAATTAATGTTTACAGTTCTTATCGGTTAGATGTTAGTTGGGAGCCCTCCCGGTACCGAAAACTCCCAGCTACCTGACTTACGGGACCGGTGGTAATAGGGGCTATACGGGTGGTGCAAATGAGTGGAGGCGTAAATGGCGCTTGTACGGAATGCCTGGAATTGACGATCCTGATAAAGTGGAAACCTAATTTAAATAAGGTGAAAAATGCGAGGAAGGTGAACACTTCGGGTCCGACTGACGTATGAGACGCCTTGCTGTTGTAGTCTGAACGCAAGAGGTAGTAAGTGCACGATGTGGTAGGTGAAGTGCGCCCAGCTCAAACCCAGCAATGTCGAAGCGCCCGGGGGGGGTGTGCCGTAGTGCCTTGAACTGGAAGTGCTGGAAAGGATCGCTAACTGGCCATGGCGGTGTTTACAAGGCGTCACAGTTTTCAGCCAAACCCCTGCGACCAAATACAACCGGGCTGTTCGTAAAGGCGGGGGGGTGGAGGGCAACACTCTGTCAATACGACTGATGCAGTGGATGGAGTATTGGTAGACACCCTAACTGAGCGTCGGTTGTCCTTTCGTACACGATCGCACCGGACTCTACTGGAGGTCTGGAGTAAAAAGACCCAAGGATGCAAGGCAAACCGACGAAACGGAGACCCGCGCCAATCCGCCTAGGCTAGTACCCATGCAATTAATCTGATGCAGGTAATACTGTGCTCACATGCAACTAGAAGCATAATGGGAAGCATGATGAATCATAATCCGTTTAGGATAAATCTTTCGCCTTTTACTAAAGATTTCCGTGTGGGGATGCAATACAATGAGTCTATGTAGACAGTTCTGCAGCGCCTCGTTCTCGGAGCGGTTAAAGTGAAGAAGAAAGTCATCTTGACAGGGCCTCTGTGCGTGCACCCCCCAGACATAATGAAAACGTTATCACAGACACTGAAATCGAACCAGTAGGTACAATTGTAGAATCAGTGGGCAGGGCTACCAACTACCATCCTGCCTTCTTATCTGTATGAAATAGACTTAAAGTGAATGGAGGTTTAGTTGCGAGCACATGCAGTATGTGTGCTGTCTCGTGAAATGTTAACCGACATTTTGAAATGTTTTTGATTCGAAAGTATTGTTTAAGCAGAATGTGATATTAATTGCCATGCAGCAGAAACCCAAGATATTTTGGTCACGTCAGGATACCGGCTTTTGGCCGTCTGCAAACATTACGTTCCGCAAGAATGACTACTCAAGTAATATGATTTTCTCCCGTTGATTCTTGGTGTCCTCGTGACATCAAGCTTATTTTCGACAGAAATGCTTGAAAACATTCTTGTACTGGTATGGTAGCGTATTACGTCTTCCCTAAATTCTGTGCTCGAAAAAGGACTATCTACCAATTTTAAAAAACGTTTTAAACATCCGAATAATTTTGAACCCGACTTACTCTTATAGTTGCATTCAGGTCTTCCAAAGTACGAACTCTATATTTGCCATGTTTGTAAAATCATGCATGATTACGCTATTAAGAAGACGTCATATAGTGCTCAGGCAAATATGAACCATGCTGTGTAGGATCCTATTTTATCCGCCTTCTGGTACATGGTCTAATTCCTGTTCGATATTCCACTATACTGTAATTTGTAGGTATGAAAATTGAGCAGTAGAAGCAAGCGTTTTTTAACTGATATAGAATCCTCTCCCACAAACTTGTTGAAGGGGCAACTTTCGTCCTCAGTTAGTGAAAGTGAACTAGATGGACAAGGCCCAACAAGTTCGATCAGTTAGGATCGTCTTGAGTGCCCATCTATCTATCGACACGGAAAAGGCTGATTACACCTAGCCTAACAAACTACTTTTTAGACGTTGATGTTCCTTAAAACTTTGGAAAGAGAGGATGCTTTTGGAAAACTATTTTCTAAGTACTTTTGTTATGGGAACAAGTGAAGCAAAGATTGGCGGCTGCTGAGAAAACCTTTTCCGACGTAAGTGATGATTACCTGCCCGTTCCTTGCGTTTCATGCCTTGGTTGGCGATGAAGACTCTCTCAGTGAGAGGACAGGAGTAATTTTAATTCCAACTCCAAAATTTAGTTCCAGGGCTCGGGAAATCTGCTGAGGGCTCTACATCGTGCATATGCAGTGACAGCATTGAAGTTGTCACCAAGCCCATTTAGACTTTGCTAAAAATATTCTAGCAATCACCAACACTGCATTCTCTCCAGATACATGAGAATCGCTCTCGCATGACTACGTTTTCGTGATCTCTGCCTCAACTTTCACAGTTTTGTCCTTATAACTAGACCGCTGGATTAATTCTCGGGTCTTTTGAACCAAGTGTAGGTGACTGCTGGTAGAGATTAAGCAAAAACTGGTAATTTCAGTCCCCCTTGCTCCTTAGAGGAATACTTATCGACCGTCAGTCCGGTTCTCGACACGGAGACAGCTTCAGAGCACATTTACAACCGTCGCCAGATTTCTCATCAGCTCTGAAGCGTACCGAGTTTCGGGAAATCGCCACTGAGGGCTTCCTTTATTTTCGTTGGGACGCGTACTTAGTATCCATCTATTGTACCTGTGTGGTGAGAGTGTCAACGTCGGTCTATATCGGGTTTAAAGTACCAGCACACAGAAATTGAAATGCTTGATTTCGGTTGATAACAGTTAGCTTTAAATTTAAACTTTTTCATATTGCTCAGCCATTGGTAGAAATGACTAGAATTGCTTATTATTGGCATAGTTTTCAGTCCGGATTTTTGAAAACAGCGTAATTTTGAAGAAAAAGGGGAAAACGGTCAAAATTTCAATGAGATGATTTAAAATAAACAGGTGATTTTTAGAACCCGAAGTTTAAAAACGATTGGAAAAAAGGCAAATAAGGACCTTGTTAATAAGTTCGAAAAACATGCCGGCGGAGACTATTTTCCGCTGGAGCCACTTACTGTAAACCTGTCGGACCGAACCAAAAAACCGGTTGAGATGTGCAGAATTATGATATCTTTCGGAAAAATATGAACACAAACAGCAAATGTCACAAGCAAACCATAGATAAGTGAAGTTGCTTTCGAAGTAAAGTAACTCAGATTGCTTTAAACTGGACAAATAGAACAGTGCGACTGAAGCACTGTTTAGAAATCCCTTTCAGATAATTCTCCAGGAATAAGCTTGGTAAAGAGCAAGGAAGACATCCAAGTGTTTGATATGCGGCGAGGTTTTGCAAGTTGATCTGCTTAAAGTTCGTTAGAAACTTTTCGATGTACCGCTTGGGATATGGTTGATCCATGTGCAGATTATTTTGTCTGACTTCGTTGATGGATATGTCGTAGAAATTAAAGATTTCGTAAGGTGATTTGGTGAGAAGCTGATTAGTGATTAAGAAATTGAAATATAATTAACAGATGCGCCCACATGCACATATTTTTTTGTATGACAAGATACTTATCATTTCATAAACGTATTGTGCTTTCCACTGATATATGGGTCATTTGAGTTTCAAGGCATTCTAAAAGCGTCGGCAAATACTTTATAGTTTTGGATTTCTTAATTCCACGAATAGATGGGCCCTTTTATTTGTATTTACCAAAACCTTCAAGACGGCTACTGTCTGGGCAAGGAATTATCGTATGTCGCGTTTTCTGTTGATGACGGGTTGCGTAATGGTCATGGGTTCAAATAAACACGACACCCCATAATTGAAGAAAGTGTACGTCCAAGACGAATACTTGCAATGAATATGCTTTTAATTAGAAAATTTTTTGACACTTTCATTTTAGAACAGCTTTAATAGAACGCTTTGCTAGTGAATTTTCGCATCTACCATTTCGTTTAACGTGGTGCTGGGAGAAAATTTAAGCATCCAGCCTCTCCATGCACTTACATGCTCAATGCTGTCAACGTTTCTATCACACACGAAAAAACGTTCTATATGGTATTTTAAAACAACTCTTGTCTTTTATTTTCAGTTCTAGGCTCCACTCAACTTTTATAAGTGTACTAGAGTGTGGTCACTTAAATACTAAAAAGCTTTTCAAATGCGTAACGGGACGCTTTTCCGTTTATAATTTATGCATTAGCGAAAGCCAGCCGCGCAAACATGACTTGTAATTGAGTCGACATTTCAAACTCTCGATAGATGGTGGACACTTTTCCCACTGCCTATGGGCTATTTCCATATAATTAAGAATTATATTTGCGGTATCAGGAAATAATGCTTGTTAAAGGCGTTGCCGCTTCATAGGGCAGCAAAAGACGTAGATTTACAAGTTGGAGTTGTTGATGAGGTAAGCACGCTGGCTTTGCTGAAAACAACCTCTGTATTCGTCTCTCGCCTTCCCCGATTAGGGCAGACTAAAAAGTAAACTTTCAGGTGCTGCCAGTTTTTTTCGTTAAATCCGTATCTTTCAGATCAATGCGCTGTACCAAGTATACACGCGCAAGTATTCGTATGTGATATCTGGCAATTATGTGCCTAGGACATTATCTGAATCTTAAGCAACGTTAGTTTCTGCCCAAAATGTGAATTTGCTTGTTAGTAAAATAACTCAGAAGCATATCTCTCACGAGAAAAATACGTGGAATAATGCGATGAACTAGCAAGTGAGAGACAACGTGGGATGTTCATCTGGAGGTCGGTCATCATATTTCACGTGTTACGTCACCTACTATGACATACGCCCTTGAATCTTTGTTTATGGTGTGACTGATCTACAATTTGCGCAGAATTGCACAGAGCACTTATCGCAAACACGTTAGTTTCTGAAATGCGTTTTTCAAAATTTTTTGATGAGCAGCCAGTTCCAACTATTTATATTAACCGAGGTATTTTGTTAGAGGAGTGTCCACGAGCGGAAAAAACAAAATGTTCTATAAAGTTTATTTCAATTTCCATCAATAAGAATCAGTAGGCTTAAACTCCATGGGAACAAGGACTAGTGAAATTTTTCCCCCTTTGGTTTTAAGGAAAAATTAGGCAAATTGTCATTATCTCGAAGTAGGGGTAGAAGTACCCTTCCATATGCGCATACCTCTCAGCCCATCACGTTATTTTAGTGACTTCTCATGTCATGAGCTGAAATAAATATGTGACTGTGTTTTTGAAAAGAGCTCAAAAGGATCCGCCATAAAATCGCGTACTAAGGTGGCATGCCTGAATTATGTACGTTATTTGATGAAAGTAGGATAAGGCATAAGTATATACGTGGGGTAATAACGTTCTAGCTATGTAACGAGTTCACTAGCGTTTTGACATTCTTGCTTTACTGCCGGACGTATGTATTCGATCCAACAATATTCTGCGTATTTTTTACTACATGTCTGCCCTCCGTGCTGAACTTTTTTAAAAAAATGAGCTTTCCTCTTTCTAAAGAATTACGTGTGGGTGGTGCAGAACAATAAGTCAATGTAGAAATTTCAGCAGCACCGACTCTTCGGGGCGGCACAGGTTAGTGAATGTCATCCTGCGGACAAAAGGCCGACCAAAGACTCTATCGAACAACGCCTACTTTTAAAAATATTGCAGGTAGTTTTCTACAGGTTTTTCATGCCCCGCGCACATACTTAAACCTTACCAAAAGCAGTAAAGGGCTATAAAGGTGTATGGCGGCAATCGAAATAACTCGTCCTTTTGGACCAGGTCAAAGAAGTAATGCATAACTGCTAGCCTCTATCTGCGTTTGACAGACAGGGTGGACCTCATATGTCCGTACAATTACTACGTGTGTCACTGCTCACGACAACCCATATGTCCAATAAACTTATTAGTGACGCACCAACAGTAACTACTGCTACTACCTCTGATGATGGACTCCTGTACGAGTCTGAAAGCTCAGGACAAGAAACAAAATGTTCCGGTGCTCGGCTCTTCTTCTTCACTTATGCATACACCTGGAACTCGAAATTTCGCCTTCATTCGTGACCGTGATTCCTGCTGACCGAACTTCTAATTTAGCCTCCTTTTGGCATTTGACTCTACTTGTGGAATGTTTGTAAATAGACTTTGGTTCTGGAGTGTTACTGGGGGAAATTAATCTTCTCCTATGCGTCGAGTGGCATAATGCAATGATTTTCGGTCCGCCGATATGGCACACGCATACAGCTTCCCTTTTTACGGTAGCTAATACTGGTGCCCTACAAGTCAGGTTAAATGATTGTATTATAAGGCCTGCGCGATAGCGGTAATCACTACTGGAAACGTAAGACCCATGAATAAACCCCTCCGAATGAACGCCTCTACACATTTTGACGTTAATTATGCGTTCAGGGCCATGCGCCAGGCCCGAAGCTTGTATAATTGACGGTTGTAGTGTAAAAGACAATGAAAACTACGAAGAAAATACATACGGGAAAAACTTATATTTAATTGGGGGCAGCTGCGTTTCTTATGGGAAAAGTGACCACAGCAAAAATGAGTGAAGGAAGGACGACAAAAGGTAAATACGTTTACAGACTCATGAAAAATAAAGCCCTCTCCAGAATCGGCTGTCGTAGTGTGAACGTTCTGGGTAAAGTCCAGAAGTTCCCGAGCCCATGTCAGTTATGCAAGCCTGTTGCTCGGGTGACTTCATGTCCAAATGATTCACGACCAAAAGATATAAATGTTTCGTGCCGATTGAACAAAAGTGGTTCAGGCGCATGAATGCAATCAACGAAACAACGATACCAAGCAGCAGAAGGACACAGAAAATACGCGTGTGTTTTGGCGACTTTAAACAACAGTGCAAAAAGGTCCAGGTGTACAAGTAGGGTTAAGGTGAAAAAACGAAAAGGTACGTAAACCTAAGCGGTTTTATCAAGGTTATGTTCTTACTAACATGTTAAAACGGTAACGAAAAAAAATCAACTTCCAGTAAATACAGCATAACACCTAAATCATGAAATGTGTCGAAATTTACGAGTGCATGCTACTCAATCACAGGCGGACGCCAATACGTGTACCGAATGTGTGTGTTAATAAATAACAGCTTTAAGGGATTGAAGACACAAAAGTGTCGAGACTTTTCTTCCTTCTTTGGCAAACGTACAGAGATTAGGTATGTTTTGGGATTTTGCATATACTGGACAAATTCTGCTGATTTAAATAATTAAACAGAAAATGAATCAAAGTGATGAGCGAATATTGTCACCCACCCTAGCATTAATCTTCGAAAATTGCGATATCACTCGAATCAATAAAGATGGCGAAATTTAACAATAGCTGGATTCTATGGACGCGGAAATGCTGTAAAATAGAAAATAGATTTATTAGTATAATAATTTGGACGTAGACTTGGGCACTTGTTTGTACGTTTTCGTGACGTATTTTGATGCTTTTTGATTTTTTAACTTCCTCTTTATTCTCCAGGTTTTGTCTCGTTTCATTTGATTTGGACGCATTTCGCGTGATGTACGACTTGGTTTCCTATTCCTAACACTTTAAACGCACCAGCTTATTTTTATCCTCTTCATTATTTCCGCAGATTCCACTGAAGCTTGAATTATCTTACATGTGGCGCGCATTCTTAAATATATTCCTTAAGGACCTCTACGGTCAGTTAGTTTCGAATAAATCCATAATCTCCCACTGCACTGGCTGATGATATCTTTGAATCTCCGAGAAGAGGAGTTGGAAAGGGGCAGGTGATGACTTGCGTAGGCGAGAATGGTCAGTGTTGATTTCCACAGATAACGTTGACACTTCTCCAACTACCACTCTACAGTCCCCATCTCCCTGCCGTCAGTACACTCCATTACACTTTCGTGTAGCTGTTCGCAGAGCCATACTCATTCACGGTTATTTTACGGGTATGTCAGAACAGCACCCTGCAGGAGATCGTTCACCTGGTTAACGTTATTCAATTCGATTATTAAACAAGCGTCCGACCTCCCCATATTGCTCAGTCATTTATTCTCGGTTTATATTTCAAAAGTATTCTTTCCTGAAAAATGGAAAACGTCAATTATCATTCCCGTCTTCAAGTCAGGATCTCGGTCCGATGTTAATAACTATCGGGGCGTGCACAAAACGCCGTCTCTAGCAAAACTTCTTAAAGGGATTATTTTCAATGAAATTCTTGACTTCTGTCTAGCTAATCGGCTTCTGAGCTCTAGTCAGCATGGATTTTTACCTGAACGATCCTGCGAAACATGCCACTTGGCTTTTCTTAATCTAATCACTTCTCTTCGTAATGAGCGGCAGTCAGTGGTAGTTATTTACTTTGATCTTAGCAAAGCCTTTGACAAGGTGCCCCATAGACGTCTTTTAGTAAAATTGGAAGCTCTGTAGCGAGTGTTAAAGACAGAACCGTCAATCCCAGACTATAAAAATCAGGATAAGACCAGAGTTATGGAAGAATTAATAATCAAAAGTCAAACGACCTGACAATCCCACTCATGCCAAGCGCGTCGCGTCGAGTTGTGTTCATTCCATCCAGTTAAACAACCAGTAAGTTCAAGAATGAGGAACAGGTAGGGAAAGGCAAGATAGTCTGGCGCCTCGGCACAGTACCCCCCTCCAAGACCGGAGGCCGGCGAAAACGACGCCGAAGGATGTGTACAGGTCTAAAAAAAATGCGTGACCAACCGATCAGGAAAGTGTACATGACGACCACTGCGAGTGATATATACAGGGTCCGTAGAAGAGTGAATAAATGTGGTGGCGGATGTGTTGGAGTTGGTGGTGGCAGTCGGAGATGGCGGACAGGAGGGCAGGGGGAAAATACGGGACGGTGGAATAGAGGCTCCGTGGGGGGAAGCAGAAGGTTGAGGACCACAGGGCTCATCCGGAGGAGTGTCAGGGATGGCAGCCTTGAGGCGGTCCACACTCACGACCTCTTCACGATTGTCGCGCTGAATGCGGAAAGTCTTTGGCCCGCGAGAGAGCACCCGAAATGGGCCGTCATAGGACGGTTCCAGAGGCCGGCGGACTCGATCACATCGGAGATAGACGTGAGAGCACGTTGCCAAGTCCTTCTCGAGATAAGACGGAGAGGCGGAGGACCTGGGAGGAACCGGAGAAAGTGTCCGCATAAACTGCCGGAGACGATGCAGGAGGTTTGTAGGATCCTCAACTGCACCTTGAGGGGTTGGCGAGATCATCTCACCGGGGAGTCGGACGGTGGAGCCGAACACCAGTTCAGCTGCGGAACAGTCAAGGTCCGGCTTGAGAGCGGAGCGGATGCCCAAGAGGACCAGGGGAAGGTGATCCGTCCAGTTCTCCGGATCGGCCGCGGCGCGTAGGGAGGCCTTCAGCTGGCGGTGAAACCGCTCGACCATCCCGTTAGCAGCCGGGTGATAGGCTGTCGTCCGGATGCGGGTACAGCCTAAAAAGGAGAGTAAAGTCTGGAAGAGATTAGATTCAAATTGGGCACCACGGTCAGTCGTGATTGTGGAGGGTGCACCAAAGATAGCAACCCAACGACTGAGAAAAGCCTTGACCACCGTTGGAGCAGCAATGTCAGGCAGGGGAATTGCTTCAGGCCACCGAGTGAACCGATCCACACAGGTGAGGATATAGGAACAACCATTGGACAGAGGCAGGGGGCCTACAATGTCCAGGTGAACGTGGCTGAACCTTGCACCAGGGCCGGGGAAGGTACCAATGGGGGCCTTGTTGTGCCGCTGGATCTTGCTCCGTTGACAGGCAATGCAAGCCAGTGTCCATGCCTTCAGGTCCTTGTGCATACCAGGCCAGACGAAGCGGTCGGAAACCAGCTTGTCGGTTGCTCGACTCCCAGGGTGAGAGAGATTGTGCAGGGAGGAGAAAACTTTACGGCGGAGGGATGGCGGCACAAATGGACGATGGGAAGGGGTGGATACGTCGCATAAAATGGTGCCGTTGCCAGTCGTCAGTGGTAGTTCCTGGAGTTGGAGTCCGGAAACATCCTCATCACAGGGTGGACCGACACGGCGTTGTTCAGCGGCCATCTCAGCGAGGTCTATCCCGGGTGAAAGCTTAAGATGAGCAATAGAGGGCCTGGACAGTGCGTCAGCCACCTCATTCCTTGACCCGTCAATATGGCGGATGTCTGAAGTGAACTGCGAAATGTAGTCCAGGTGACGGATCTCCCGGGGGGCTTAGCTTGTCAGAGTGGGAATGCATCGCAAACGTGAGTGGCTTATGATCAGTGAAAATTGTGAACTCTCGACCTTCAAGTAAATGCCGGAAGTGCCTTACGGCAAGATAAGCGGCGAGAAGTTCCCGTCCGAATGTGCTGTAGCGGGTTTCGGCTTTGGATAGTTTCTTGGAGAAGAAAGCCAAAGGCACGGTAGAATCCGGCAGACTTTGTTGAAGAACCGCGCCAACAGCAACATTGGAGGCATGGACCATCAAAGATATGGGTGCATCAGCGTGAAAGTGAGTCAGGAGGGTGGCGTCAGCCAGAAGGTCTTTTACCAGCTCAAATGACGTGAGTGCGGCTGATGTAAGTTCAAAGGTGCGTTTGGGACCTGAGAGGAGATCGGTCAGAGGTAGGATGGTATCGGCACAGTTCGGGAGAAACCGGCGATAAAAGTTCACCATACCAAGAAACCGTTGCAACGTACGCTTCGAGGTAGGGGGTGGAAAGTCCCGAATGGCGGCAACTTTTGGGGGAAGAGGCCGAATGCCGTTTGAGTCTATCAGGTGACCTAAGAACTCAAGAGAAGTGGCTCCTAGGACACATTTGGAAGGATGCAGGGTGACACCAAACTGCTGAAATCGGTCGAAAAGCAGGGTAAGGTGATGGAGATGTTCCTCCACATCTCGACTGGCGACGAGAACATCATCAATATACGCATAAACAAATGGAAGGCCGCGTAAAACACGGTCAATGAAACGTTGGAAAGTTTGTGAGGCATTTCGGAGACCAAATGGCATACGAAGGAACTCGAACAAGCCAAAAGAAGTCGTCACTGCCGTTTTGGGAATGTCCTCAGCCGCAATCGGAATTTGATGAAAAGCCCGCACCAAATCGATCCTCGAGAAAATGGTTTTGCCGAAAACGGCTCCAGCAAAGTCCTGAAGATGAGGAACGGGGTACCGATCGGGCATAGTGATATTGTTTAGGGCTCTATAATCGCCACAAGGACGCCAATCATCCGTATTTGGTTTAGGAACCATGTGCAAAGGAGATGCCCAGGGACTGTCAGACTGTCGAATAATCCCTAGTTGCAGCATGTGGTCAAATTCTGCTTTAGCAGCCGCAAGACGCGCGGGAGCAAGATGGCGGGGACGAGAAAAAACGGGAGGACCAGTCGTTTTTATGTGATGAACAATATCATGGGGAAATGAGGTGTCAGAAAAATGGGGCTTAGTGAGGGTAGGATATTTTGCTAAAAGTCTACGAAATGGACAGTCAGGCTTTGGGTCAAGGACGGAGAGCTGGTTAGAAACTGAAGATGGAGGAAATCCTTTGACAGTGAGGGTAGTTGCGCGATCATGGAGGCGAAGTTGTCTGCAATCCACCAGAAGGTCAAAGGCGGCCAAAAAATCAGCACCAAGGATAGCAGTGGGAACATCAGCAACCACAAATATCCAGGGGAATAATCGCCGGAGGCCAATATCCAGGGAGAGCGATCGAAATCCAAAGGTTGTAATGGGGGATGAGTTTACGGCCTGAAGGTAAAGACCATGGTTTGGGCAACGTCGGTCGGCTGGCGTGGGAGGGATAAAACTAATCTGAGCGCCAGTGTCGACTAAAAAATGTCTGCCACTCGTGTTATCACTCACGTAAAATGTGCGACCCGTAGAGTTGCCAGAGAGCTCGGCCGCGTTTACTCTCCGGCCGAGGAGTTTCCCTGCATGGACTTGAAGGAGCAGGGTGGAACACAGCGCCGCGCCTTATCGCCATAGTTGACATGATACCAACATAGGTTGGCGGTCCTGGGGCGAGAGCGGTAACGACGACGGTCACGACCGAAGGGACGTCGAGAGGGACCGGGGGATCGGCGCAGCTGCAAAGCGGCAACAGTCGCTGACAACTGGGCAATCTGCGTCTTTAGTTCAGCAAGGTCAGAGGTGGACACGTTGAGAGGCTGGGACGCCTGAGCAATCGTCGGGGATGACAAGCGCTCAACCTCCATCATACGGTCAGCCAGCTCCGCTAACTTTGATATTTCTAGGTCGTCGGTGCCAGAGGCCAAGATTGTTTTTACAGACATCGGCAGACGTTCTAAGAACATCTCTTTAAAGAACTTGTCATCGATTTTCATGTTCCCAACCAGAGAACGCATGCGACGCAAGAGTTCCGACGGCTTGCGATCACCTAAGGCCTCCTCTTTTACTAGTGCGTGATAACGCTGCCGATCGGAGACTGATGTCAGGCGAAGAAGTTCAGCCTTTAACTTGGTGTAAGGAGCATCAGTCGGGGGATCTCTCAGAAGCGTTTGCACTTGAGAAAGAATGGTGGGAGGGAGGGCCTCGACCAGCTTATAAAACTTGTCGGTTTCACGTGTTATCTTGGCGGAGTGAAAAGTCGCCTCAATACGGAAAAAATAAAGCTCTGGCGCATGTTGCCAAAAGTCTGGGAGGGAAGAAACAAGTCCACTGAGAGAAGAAGTGGGATCATTGGAATTCGTAGAGGACATGATTGTAGAAAGAAAGAAGGCAAACGGGCGGTATGCAAATTGGAAGTCGACTAATTAAAGGTATAAGCGTGAACGTCAAGGGTCACCACTGTAGCGAGTGTTAAAGGCAGAAACGTCAATCCCAGACTATAAAAATCAGGATAAGACCAGAGTTATGGAAGAATTAATAATCAAAAGTCAAACGACCTGACAATCCCACTCATGCCAAGCGCGTCGCGTCGAGTTGTGTTCATTCCATCCAGTTAAACAACCAGTAAGTTCAAGAATGAGGAACAGGTAGGGAAAGGCAAGATAGTCTGGCGCCTCGGCACAGCTCTCGCATCCGGCCGCCTCTACTCGACTTCATCAGGTCCTATCTGTCCAACCGATATCAGAAAGTCATGATCGGTAATAGCTACTCGACACCCCACTCGATCACGAGTGGCGTACTTCAAGGCACGGTCCTGGGTCCGCTACTCTTCCTTCTGTACATCAATGATATTTCGACTGAACTCGCAAATTCGCAAACTTTTACTTATGCCGATGACCTAAAGTGTGTTTACTCATACTCTAAGGACACCGCTAACGTTTGTGTTGAAAAATTAATTCTGATTTGCTAAGCTTAAGCAGATGGGGTTCGACATGGCAGATGGAGTTTTCATCATCCAAGTGTAGTTTCATGTCTTTTGGTCCTACCAAACTTCCTGGTCCCATAATTTTTCAGAATAACCCACTCTCAGAATGCCTCACCATAAAGGACCTAGGTCTAAGTTATACAAATAAACTTGCTTTATCACCTCATGCAGATAGAATCTCTGCCAAAGCCGCGCAGATATGTGGATTCATATTGCATAATTTTTCCTTCCGGAAATGAAGCTAAGACTTTATCAAATGTTTGTTCTTCCAGTCCTCGAATACTGCTGTCCTTTCTTCGGTTTAATGAACGCCTGCGGCCGTAATAAAATTGAAAATGTTCAGTGGGTTTTCACCCGGAAACTGTTCTCTCAAGCTTCGTCCAGTATTTCTTATACTCAGAGATGTCAGCTGGCAAACATTAAGTTTTTGTGGGTTAGAAGACTCGAAGCTAGCCCTTACTTCCTTTTTCGCATCAACTCTAGCTGCACTCTTCTGCTCATTGACACTCTCACTCCGAGAGATCGGTCTTATGCCACGCGCAACCCCTGCATGGTGATTCCGCCGCCTCTTTGTACTACATCTAAGCGCTCCCTCTTCTTTGCTTCCAAATATGCCTTCCTTTGGAATAATCTTCCGCCTGAAATTAGATTAACGCCTAGGTTACTGATATTCAAGTCGAAATTACGCAAACATCTTACACCGGAAAGCATAAAGGCACTGTTAACGGTCTCATTCCCGAACACTCAGATTCTTGACTTCGAGAAGGGTCCTCCTGGGATTTAGTGGTAGATTAAGTGGTAACTCTTAATTATATCATTAGAAACCCCTTTTTTGAATTGGTTTCTAAATCCACTGCTATAACTTCTCCCTCATAGCGACAATTTTCGCGGTTTTGATGTCATCTCCCGCATTCCGACCTCATGCGGTCTGTCGACGCTCACGGCGGAACCCTCAGTATTCACTGTCTACTAGTAGTTCGGTCGTACCTCCCTTCCCCACTGCTCGGCTGAGCTCGAAGCGTGCTGTGGGCGATCGCATCTGGGTTCCTCTCTTCTGGCCTCTTTGACGCAGCGTACCAATCCGGCCCAGACAATCTCAATTGTGAATCCCGTATACAATGCCATTTGCAAGCCAGTCCTGTCTGACCCACATTCGTACCCCTCAAGGCTGAGATTTATTGCTATCCTGACGATGACCGACAACATTCCGTTATATACCGCCACCTACAGGCCAGTCCTGCTCGCTTTTTTCTGTCATTATTTTTATTGAGGGGTTTTTTTTCTCTTGTAAAATTAATCCAATCATTTTTAACTTTTTGTAAGGATTTTTTTCACCCCTCAATCATCATGTTTCTTAATGGACTTCTAATTCAGAAACTATGAATTGCATTTTGTAAAGATTCGGCCTACCTCGTATAAAACTCGCATGTAAATTTATTTTAACCTGCTTTGATGGGACACCGACGGGTCTTTAATAAAAATTATCTATCTATCTATTCTACAATGGGGCCTATTTTTTCAGCATTAGTAGAAATATATCATGCCTCGCCCTGACAACGCATCAATATTCGCCGACACAAAAAAGTGTTTTCCCAACGGTGTACCTTTATAAGACACAGAAGCTCAAACTGACCCTGGGGTGGAACAGATGAACTCTTTAAGACCGTCTGATTATTGCTCAAGATTGGCAAAAAGAAGATACCCTGTTGCACGCCATCAAGAGAGCCTATATCAGTTTTGATGAAGACACCATCTTCAAAGCTTTCCGAAAATAATAAAGAGGCATTTGGAGTGCGTCGGTAAAATAAGGAAACGACGGTCAGTCCGATATCAAGACAGTCTACAATAAATTCAAATAATGGTCAGGAAAATAGTTAAGTGTTAGAGCAGCCTAACTAACAAAACATATCTCACTTTCCCTTCAATAATAGGCAAATCTACGCGGGTCTCTTGCAAGCTTTCTGAATTTTGAAGGGAGTAAATTGTTGCCTGGCATTTATTGACTTATTGAATTTGCTGCCACAATCAACCTCCGAGATCGCCCATTAAATATGCGAGTTCAGAAGGCAGGGCTGGGTGTAGATAATTTATCCTCTTCTGTCAGTGTGGTCAAACCATTGAGTGCCCACTCTGCAGATGTTTTGATGAGAAGAGGAAAGATAACTTTAATTGGGAGAATAAAATGAGGGACTGGAAGCGATGATGATGACGTTCCACGCCGGGATTGGCTACTTTAACGTCCTCATAGTCCTTGCTAATGACCTAATCTATGTAGGTAGTGCCGTAGGGTTTCTTGCTCAACAGCAAAGTCGGTCGGCAACAGAAAACGGGGTCTGTGTTTGTTCGTCTATTTTTCAGTATTTTGGGTTCCGCGCTACAGCAAATTTTGTCCGCATTTTTGTAGGTGACCAGTCCCCGTTTGAGTGGGGAACTGGCTGTCTTGTAATATCCGGGTTGTAGCGGCCGAGTAGGGTTGGGCTCAGGGAGGCTCGTAGTGGCCTGACGCTGAGCACGAAGGCTTGGGTTCTTTTGATGGGATGTCAAGGAACACTCCTCTAAAAGTTGAGTTACTCCGTCATGCACGCTGACAAAGGATAGGGGCGGCGTAGACATAATAGCACTGATTGAAATGGATGTAAAAGATTTATTATCGAAATGTTTTCGAAATGTGAAAAACAGATTAAATACGGACTACTCTAATAATGGAAATAGTATGTACAAAGCTAATAAAACAAATGCGAGAACACGACTCGATTTGGTGAACCGGTAAACGAGATTAGCGAAAAAAGTGACTAGATATAGAATAAACGATACGCATAACAAGTCGTCTGTTCTGGGGTATACAAACAGTAAGGAAAAAGGACTTAGCGGCTGGTTCGTCGACAGGCGGCGGCTCGTGTCCACGAGACCCGAATTCTGGAAGGGGAGCAGGAAGCAAAAAGGTCCGTTTAAAACAGTCGATCGTTACAGGGTTACTTGATGGCTTGGCTTCGTCTAGATTGGTGTCCTTGGAAGGTGATTGGCGTTGATCGTCAATTGGAGCGAAGGTAGGCATGATTATTTCTGACTTTTCGCACACACACAAACAAGCAGAATGCAACAGGCAAATAAAATCTTATCAGTGACAACCTACTCTTTATAAAATTGGGATCTGAAGGGGGAACTAATCACAGGTTTTTTTCCACCAAGATGGGGATACAACAGAGAAGAAAACTAGAAGTAGCAGAGGCGTCGTCCTCCAGTTTGTCCTTCCTCTGGTCGCGATGCCGGCACGCGCAATTCTTCAGTCGGCGCGTCCGATTCGGCCTCAGTCACTCTTGCCTTAAAGGGAAAGAAAAGCCGTTCAGGAAGGCGTTGACAAAAACGATCAAAATTAACTTAATTTAAAGTGCTTGCTCTACGGCAGATTCGGATAAAATTTAAGGGAAAAAGAACAATTAGTGTGGATTGGTTAAAATAACCAAATGGCATACATTAGATTGCTAAAAAGCAAGGTGATATGATAATCGTAATAAAAATGCAATAGTTAATTATATTTCGTTACAATTATTCCAACAGAATATTGCCAATATTCACCGTTTGCCGTAGAGTTCACTAGTTAAGCATGCTTACCGCCACAGCTAACTGGCTGACGTTGTCAGACGGTCCACTGGAAACCTGGTTGCATTGAATATCTACCTAATGCAGTATCATCGCGGAACTCCCGCGATTGGGCTATCTCGTGCCTGAGTTATCAGTGATCTCACACGCATGCTCGTCGTCAACGCATGCGTATCGAGTGCGGCGTGTGCTATCGAGTGCTCTTTGTTTCCCTCTGTCATACTCTTATTTGATTCATTGACCCATCTGTTGTTGTGTTTGAAATGTTTACCTAGGAATGTAAAAGTAATATAAGGCGGCATGTGAAGAAGAAGATCGAGGGAATGTCAAAAGTAATAGATGCGGAAGTAGATATGATTTTTGACGGTAGCAAACGTGAAGCTACTAACACCGATTTTCGCCTGTGGAATTGTAGACATCCATGGCTAATACTTCCAGCGACGAAGAAACTGGCCGACGAAAATCAATTAAACAACACCGGAACCCGTTTGACAAGCCTTACTGGGAACTTGGTGAGCCGCCAATGTCACCTTCAGTACGTTTCTTTATACTTACAAAGATAACTGTTTAGAATGAAAGAGACTCAGAGGGAGAGTCAGTGGACACACTACCAGCACGCATCCGGTGATTTACAAGGTATTGTTAGATGACATTAATTTCTTTTGTAGTTTGCGATGACCCGTCCTGCCGCGCAGTGATGAGTAGCATGCAGGTGATTAAATGTTGGCCCTTGCTAATATAAAACTCCTCATTTTAAATAGACGTTTACACTGCGTGGAACAGAGGAGGGAGAGCAGACGTGTATGAACTGGAGGCCGCCTTCACAAGGCGGTTGAAGAGATCCCTCGACGCCCTATTCAGTGGGCGTTCTCATGTGGATCCCATTCTAGATGATTCTGATGGCTAGTATAGCCAAAGTCTTTTTAAACTCAACAGGACCGTCGTCGTCTCGGCCGCGTAGGGAGTGATAATGGTAATCTTTGTTTGTTATATTTTCATGATAACTCTTTGTATTTTCTGCGTAATAATGCTTTCATTCAACTTTCTTGGGGAGCAACGTAGTAAGTATAATAATAGTTGGGACGGAAGATGTGGAAAAGAGCATTTGCATGTGCTAAAACGGGAAAGTCGCAAAGGAATGACGTCCCGCAGCTGCTTAGCGCCGTATCGCGACTTTTCACCGTTGTTTCCAATACGACCAAATGAACAAAACCTTCTAAAAATCAGTCCTACTATGGAGACTTTTCCACAACGAGGCGCCGACGTCTCGCTACGGATTTGCTACTAGGGAAGCTAAATATCATGAAGAATCTCAAGTCTGAGCGAGCTGCCTGAGATCTGCAAAACAGGTAACCGAATTCGAACTTATCATATTCCCTCGCTCTGATCATCAACTCTTCGTTGCTACTATATACACAGTTTTCGAATCAGATGCCGACACACGTGCGTTGCCTTAGTGCTCAGTTTAGTACTGCATCGTACGCGTTAGAGGTTCGTAACCAAACTAACTTTTTCGAGAAAAAGGCCTTATCCTGCAAAAGTGCAGAAAGCGATTCCGTTTGAAAATCCTTGCGTTTCATCTTTTTTGGTCATCGGAAATTCATGAATGTGGTGCTCTTTAAAGAACGTTCTCATAATTCTGTTAATTTTTCGGTGAACCACGTTAAAAACCTGTCGGCAATTCTTGTCTTGTTATACTAGCCAGTTGCCTAATAATGCACTTACCTTTAATATGTGATCTTTGACGGAGTTTCTTAATGGTCTCTTCCGAGTCTTTCAGTGACTGGAATTATCACCCAAAATTAATTATTCAAAACTTAACATCAAGAAGAATCGTGAGGCAATTGCAGCTTGCGTGTAAATTTCGGCCAATCACCTGATAGTTGGCGGAAATATTCCGCAAAATCCTGCCGGTAGTCACTCGCACTGGCTTTCCCTGCGCCGTACTTTTGTCCTTATCCAAACGTTTATTTTATCTTAACACGTGTCCTATTGACTAACATTCAAATTTTCGACACAGTTCAGCAGCTTTCCCGTCGAACTTTGAGTCCTGACCGAGAGTTATTCGTTTATAAGCGTTAATTTTGTCAGCTACCTTGGATTCCCCTAGATAATATATTGTGGTAGGGGGCGCTCACCGATCGTTCATACGGAACTCACTCGTTCCGTTGTGCCTTAAGGGCTCTCTCTCGAGTCCAACCAGCAGCCGCACAGCGACGCATGGTATGTAGGCAGAATGGCATTATCGACAAAGACAAGGGAGACTGGAATGGCCATTTCTGGCTTATTAGCCGTCGTCAGCCCGAAGTGTGGAACACCCGAGCCTCGAACTCGCGACCCGTTAGTTAGAAGGCCACGCCTCTAACCACTGCGCCACGAGCCCGTTGCCCTGTCGGTTTTCGATCGGGAATACACAATGGTAGGGGGCGCTCACCGATCGTTCATACGGAACTCCGACGACGGCTAATAAGCCAGAAATGGCCATTCCAGTCTCCCTTGTCTTTGTCGGTAATGCCATCCTGCCTATATACCATGCGTCGCTGTGCGGCTGCTGGTTGGGCTCGAGAGAGAGCTCTTAAGGCACAACGGAACGAGTGAGTTCCGTATGCACGATCGGTGAGCGCCCCCTACCATTGTATATTCCCGATCGAAAACCGACATGGCAACGGGCTCGTGGCGCAGTGGCTAGAGGCGTGGACTTCCAACTAACAGGTCGCGAGTTCGAGGCTCGGGTGTTCCACACTTCGGGCTTGGGTATGACTGGCTGACGACTGTTAATAAGCCAGAAATGGCCATTCCAGTCTCCCTTGTCTTTGTCGGTAATGCCATAATATATTGTCTATAGGTTGCCGGTATAGGTTAGACTTTAATATCTGTGGATCGCAATGCTTGGTAATATGCCTTTAGAGTATCACAAATATGTGATTTAAGCTTATTTGGAGTCCGTTTCATTGGAAGCGTTTGGCCACTTCATACGCAGACCATCAGGTTTTTGGGTGTCTTTGTACACTTTCATGGTCTACAATTTCTGCGATTAATTTTCACCCAGACCAGTTTATGTATGCCGCATAAGAGCCTTCACCAGCAAGTATAGTTATTAACAACGTGCTCCCAAATTCGAGACGTGGTCTGTCAGCCGAGATATTTTCTCGAGTCGCCACTTGTCGAAGATTTTGGTCTTTCTTAGTTCGTCGGCACTGAGAGGTCATCTTTAGCAACCACAGATAAAGATAGCTTTGGTTATACGTAAGTATACTGGGATTTTTATCGTCCGTTGTTCCTCAACAGAACCGCGATCACTTGTTGAATCAGCAGGACATGCTGGGTGTTATTTGCACGCAGCGGTTTACTTCCGCTTGACGCTGGTCAGTCGATAACACAGGAGAATCGAGGCAAGATGGGGCACTTTATCACCCACGAGGAGGCACACCGCGACGCGAAACCATAGCAGTCATTTCGGTTTCTGGGCGTCCTGTTTCAGGCTAAACTTGCGGGAGCCAGCGACAGTGCTCAAGATCGGATTGCGTTTCCTCAAGGTTATTTCCAGGCAGAGCGGTGCCTTTAGCATAATAATGTTTAAGACGAGATATTTCCATACGAAATGACTGAAAACCATGAACAGGGCCGGATCTACCGCACACTTAAAGATGACCGGCCTGCGGAAGTCAACATTACGGGAAATATACCAACCCTGTCCACTTAACGCTTGGTATTTTGTTTGCATGGGTTATCATGCCTTCATCGACTAATTGTTTTCGAGGATAGGCCAAAACCATCTAGGTCGTCCTTCCTGGATGGTCTGAGATCCCGTCTGAGCGTTTCTGCAGCGAATGTGCACCTTCTCTCTCTCGAATCATTGTCGCGTTCCCATGTCAGTGCCTTGCCTGCACACTGATGAACTGGTTACTTATCTACCTTCGTATTCACGCTCCATTTTTTGTGGAAAACAATGTCTGATCCTTCCATCTTTATTGTTTGTGTGTTCTACTCGGACAACTGAACTTCCAGTAGATAGACAGCGCCGTACCTTAGAGAGGGCGAGTATCCTCAGGACATGCGTGCCTGTGTCTTAGTGTGTGCGCATTCCAGCAAGCGACACGGACTTTCTCAATCTACGGAATTCTAGCTGCTCCCATACTTGAAATCAGACCAACTGGGACAGTTTGAACTCGTCAGTTCCCGCGGACGGTCTAGCATGAGTCACATCCTCTGTGCCTGAAACAGCCATGAACATTCGAGAGAATGAGGCTCAAGTGAAACACCCTTAACCCCGCCCTGCGTATGGGTGGAACCCTGCGAAGGTGGACCAACAAAGTGCTGCGTCTTCCCGTTGTATCATCCACGGCCATGCTTAATGCCCAAACTATTAAGTACAGCGAAATTCACAATCTTTCTACTAATACTCGTGAAAAGACGAGTTCCAGGGAGTAGTTGTGACAGTAACTCGGTCACCGAAGCAATAGCAATACCTTCAACGTTTCAAATTCACCCTATAACTTATCTTCAGGGACAGTAACAGATAATTGTGGCGGCCGCATAGGGATTCCAGTACTTATGGGGCGCAGTTGTTGCCCAACCACACCCACTGTCCAAGAAGCCTCTCCCAATTCCACTTTAAATGTTCATACTTGGTCCGATGACAGTCCGACCGTCGGTTCCGACAATGCCCACCATGTGTATCACCGTAGGGCAGACCGAGGATCGGTGACATTGACGGGAATTTGTTTGTTAGCCCACTGTCAAGAGACCTGAAACGGGATTAGCCTCAGTGACTGACAGAGCTAAACAGCTCCTCTATGTCTGTCACACACGCCTTCTCAACCAATAGGCCAGGTTTTCACAGAAGTAAGAAGGAGGCGTTCGAATCTCAACTGATTGACAGTGCCATATAGGCGATACTAATTAGGAATCATTATAGCCCGAATCGCCGCCCTGAGAGGAGGACCGAGTTATCCCGTCAGTTGGCAGCCTTCTCAGCCACGGCCATTGGCTCACCGTGATAGATTCAAGCGTTTTAAATTGTTTAAATACGGAATATGTAGCGCGAGTTGACCCCACTCTCTCTTCCCTCCCTTAGGCACCAGTCCACTATTTGAGCCGGTTAGCTAACTGATGCTGAGATTGGGCTCAATGGTCGGCAGAGCTAAAAACCCCGTCTGCTCGTGTCACACGTGACCTGCCCCCAACGAAATACATCAGGCTTCCAAACGAGGGGGTGGACTACTCAGTTCTCACACGCATTAGAGTTCCATAAAGGCCACATGGCGAAGCAGCCGAGAAACGCTTCTCTACTAGGTGAGAGTTGCCTATTCCGTGCATGTGCTGGATGATGTTCTGCAGATTCATTACGTTGTATGTACTGGTGAGGGTATGTGTGGGGACGTGGTTTGGTCGGTGCTGTATCAACGGAGGTTTTCGTCGATATACATGTGGCCGATTAGCCCAATGAGGTTTCTGAATATGCATTAGTAGTGTGGGCAGTTGGGGCGAGGGTGGCAGGTGTATGTTGGGGCTCAAGGTACTGGTTCACCAGTCTCAACGATGGATTTACAAGTGGCCGACCAAGCTGACGTGTAATGTAGAGGTGCGACCGCAGTGAAGACAGGTTGGGTCGAGTCCGCATTGTTGGTGGTGGGAGTACTGGTGGTTGGCGGGGCATTGGGAGTGTTCTCACCGGTTGCGGAAATGGAAGGGGTGGTAACCGTAACTGCCGTCTTCGTTAAGGTTGTGGCAAGGATGATGGAGGTAGTGGTCGACGACGTCAGCTGCGGGGCATCAGGAGTGTGATCACCGGTGATGACGGAGGTGGCTGCCGTCGTGGACGCAGTGAGGGTTACGGTAGGAGTGACAATGGAACGGGGACGTTTGCGGAGGCAACAGGTGGACTTATCGAGTTGTTGTTGCATCGGGCCCGGAGGTTTCCGACGAGGTCGACCCGTGCGCAGAATGTTTGTGGACAGCGTGGGTATGTTTGAAGGGGTTTTATTTGGACGTTGTAGATCGGAGACGTTTGAGATTTGCGAACCGTTATTGGATCTTTGGCAATGGCGACCCAATGGGTTTTGTACACTGCTGCTGCAGTCTTTACGACTTTTCTCCTGGTCGGTTGATGCTGATTGAGGTCCCCTGTGGCCACCGGGTTGATTTGCAGATTTTGGAGGGAGATTTCCACTGCCATTGCTTCACTCCATGAGTCACAGTAAATGAATCAGGGATTGGTTCGTTGTCGGGGACGCGAAGAATCATCCCACTGTGAAGTTGGCGCCCATGTAAATGGTTCCGAGGCTCCTGCGAAACCCATACTGGTTTTCTGGAAGACATTCCTGCTCTAGCTACGTGTTCCGACGGTTTAGGTGGATGCCGACGTAGATTTGTGCTGCAATGTTGAGTATCGGGCTGCCCCTGTGATTTTCGCAGAGTTTGAACAGGGCAGAGGCGAGGAAACCTGCAGAATTCGATGACGCCATAAAATTTCGCGGCACATTGTCCAAGTCCTCCCTTTACCAAGCCCCTTCGCATGTCAGACCAACAGTTTATGCTTTATTTGTCTATCGCGCTCCATCTTTCAAGGTCGGTTTCTAATTGAACAGTTTGTCTTATTAATACGCAATGGCCGTACGCCGTTGCATAGGAGATCGCGAAATTTGCTGACGTCATCTAACCCTGCATGTTTTGTTGCCTTTGCCTCGTTCAAATTTATCTCAGGAAAACAATGTTTCAGTCATCACAGTCGTCGGTCCCCTTTCCGCTTGTATATGTGGATGATGGTCGCTTTCTCGAAGTCTTAGGGGCCTGTCTCTGTCGCTACATTTTACGGAAGATCGACATCTGCATGTTCATCATCCCAGAATGGCCGTGCATGTGTGCTTCGCCTGGGATTGTGTCTGATCACGCTGGTTTCCCTCTGGCCATTCCCCCTGGTGTACAGCCCTGACTACTTTTAGGAGCGAAGGTGGACGGTTCTGGCCATTGTTCATTCCTACCTGGGGAGGATGATGATGACAACGTCGGTCATTATTAATGGTCGATTAAGGACACTTCTCAAGTGCCTGGCTCAGCGCCTCAGAATTTGCGATTACGCTGAAAGAAGTACTGATCTTGGTGCGGTTTCTTTGACTGTTTGGTCGTAAACCATCCTGCTTTTCGCGAAGTTCTTTATTTCGGCCCGCATATCCTTATTATTTTCATCGTCTTGCCATCCATTCACGCACTTTGTATCTCCCTCAGTCATTGTCGCACTAAGTGGCGACATCTGAAGAAGTCCTGTTTGCTTGCGTCGGTTTTATGGTTGACGTGGTGCAATAATGTCTTCATTGTCCATATCCAGGTCTTTGACTTACCGCGATTTCATCACCGGTACTGGTGATCAGCGGCAAATTGACCCCCCAGTATTATCAGCGAAAACAGTCTTCACCTAGACTTCACTCTATTTAACTAATCGCCCTCCCCTGCCAAAGTCTTGGCGTTGAATGAGGAGCGAAAGGTCGTTGCTTTTGTTAGTTTTCTGCTGGCCAGAGAACCAGCTCCAAATAACTCGCAAGGATTGCTGCCTCGTCATGCATATAAGTAAGGACAACTGAAATCACTCCTCCCGATGTTCGATCATCTACTCCCAGAGTAATCTCCCTGTATCATTGAAGTAATTGCTTCGTCCATAGCCGCACTAGATCTGGTGAATTTCTATGCCATGCGGATGGACATTTTAGCCTTACTACTTAGCATCAGGTGGTTGCTTCTGGTGAGTAATTTGTCGAAATTATAGGTCACACGGATGTGCGCCGCCTCGGGTTACGGCATTAGTGAGCCAGGTTCCTGAGTTATTGTCAGGCCAGTCATAAACAGCGGAGACACGATTGCGCCCATCGGCGACTAGAGCGTGTACGACCAAGCCCCTTTCATGTAAGGCATGAAGGTCTGCGGTGGATATGACAGCTGCTAATTTTGGTAGGGCTCCAATTGCGTCTGTAAATATTCCACCCTCCATCCACCCTCTCTTATTATGAACTTGGGAGTGAATTTGAAACATTAAACGGACAAACATTCTAAACGGACAAAGTTATGTGAGTGATCGAGTCTTCTCAAACCTTTCACTATTCGCACAAAACCATCTCATCCCGTATGTACATCGCACCTATGCGTTCTGGTATCCCGGTTTTTCGCAACAACACAATAGCATACTGTGACAGGCCTGTTTTTTTACGACTTGTAACAAAGGCTGTCTTCAGCATTTAATCCTCATTAGTCTTACACGCCAGCAAGTTTAAGTGTCGACCTGATCATTTACAATGACACATCAACCAGAGTTCTCACTGATATCACTACGGCACAGGCGGAAGCATCCGTTGCGTTGGGCGTTAATCTGGTTGTTGCGGCTCAAAGAGTAAAGCATAGCTCACATTGTCCTAAGCCAATGCTTGCACAGTCGGACTTTGCGTTTGAGATGCAGGAAGGAACGCCCCGCCAAATAGTGCTATTTTCTCTCTTCCGAGCGGCCTACCTTGCATAATTTTCGTATAACCAGCTGAGGAGTTCTTTTGTCCGTCGGTGACGTTGAAAGTTGCATCTTCTGTCGAGGGCAGCGGTTTAAAAACAGGTTAGTTGTGGAATCTAGAAGGCTTGCTATTAGTCGTGTCCCCTATTCACCACCCCGATCTTTGGCTATCTCTCCCCTCCACAATCACTTAGTAGTAATGACTGTCTTAATGATGAGGGGCCAAAAGTCCGTCAGCGAAATCTGAATCAGTTTATAGAACAATGCTCGACTCGGTGTACTGTCTTAGATGAACGCGGCGGCTTATCTGCCAGACCCGATAGTCTGTTTATTTTACGGATAGTTTTCCTCGACGGCTGTTCCGGTAGTCGCATATGGACGAGCCGGGCAGTCAGCAACTAAGCTAACAGTTAAACCCAATCGACTCTGGGCTCTCGGTCTCGATCTGTGCTCTCTTCTCTGGAAGTCCATTTAGATGTTAACTATCGCTTGGTTGCAACACATCACTTCAAGACAACTTATACACACCACTGGGTATACTCTGATCCCTCATAACGTCTTCAACGCCACTCATGAATATTCTATCATCCAGGTGGTCCTTTTTATGCCTTATATCGCCGCTGAGCTATTTGAAATCATCCTGAGATAAGATCGTTTTAGCTTCTGGGTAAGCCTAACTGCCCCCTCCTCCCTAAGTTCCAACGCGCGCAGAGTTTCTGTGTTGATTTTACTCTTCAAAAACAATTACAAATGTTTCACGAGTCATATGGCTGAAAACTGAATGATACCTATCTTCACGCTTGTTACCATGATGCTCCTCGTTATCGTCTCTAGTTTTCTATCTCTGTAAATGCTTGCCGTACATGACATCCAGTCGTAGTGGTCGTTGATTCTCTGCCTTACTATACCTTACATTCTATTAACTGGAGATCTGTTGGATCATCCAGATAAATTTACTTTTTCCCCACCTGGCCAACAATTTGGGATTATTGACTAATTTCCACTTGTTGTATTCAAGCTTCATCTTCTTCTTCCTTCTTCCTTTAGTGCCAACAGTTCATCTGTGTGCCATCTATCATGCCAGGAGCTTCACGGTTTGTTGAAAAGGCACATCCGTTAACGTTCTTTGCAGCGTCGTTATTGTCCCCATTCCGAAGTCCCAGACCGCAACTCAAACCGTTAATAGTTTGATTAAGAGGTGTGAGCTCCTCGGTGCTGTTGAACTCTATCCGACGAAGATTGAAAGCTCAGTTTACCGTTCAGTAGCAGCGAAGCAAGGTAGTACGTCGTCTGTTTTAATGCACTCTTTTCAGGACTATGTTCATCTTTTCAGGTCTTCACAAATTCGGACTATCCTGCCTCTTGTTTTGTAATAAGTGATAAGGATCAAATTCTCACCTGTGACTTGGCCTTCCGTGAGTTCCCTGGTTTCCTGAAGGGAGTGTATGAACTTGAACAAAAACTTCAAGTGAGGGGCATTGGAAAAAAATACAGACTAGGCGATTTTACTATGAACTTCGTATCGCTCTACCTCGGCCAAAGTCCAACTGTCAAGGGAGTCCTTTTGGAGGTTTGTGGGCATACCCGTTATTGGGTAGTCAACTTGAATTTTCTTCGCCGCTTAATCATTCGCATTGTCCTTTACTTTTGAGTATTATTTTTGCGATAATTTATCAATTTAGTTTTCTTGAAATATCGTAGTAAAGCGTTGTCTGTTATTTCCTATTACAGACAGCTCAGTTCACGTTTGGAGTCCGTACTTGGTCAAAATATGTGTTGACTATGATTTTCACTCGGCTTGGGACCAAAGACACTGCTAATGAGGTTATTTGAGAACCAAATTCCGAATTCGTAGCTCCAAAAGTATTCGCAACCAGTTTTAGGGCAGTTTCGACGTGATAAGGACTTTCTAACTTGAGAATAATGAGCTATCGTTTACGATTTCAGAATTGCACTCACAGCTATTATTGTGGGTATTAAATATCACTCAAATCAAGGTTGGTTTCGCCAGTCTATCGAGATCCGTGGATCCTTGTCCAAGCTCCAGGGCTGTGGTTAGAACGCAGCTGTCCAACTATACCAACCTACCCAAAACGGCTTCATTCTTATTCGTTTGCTGTTATTGAGTCCTCGTCACTGCGTGACTGCCCGCGTGCTCTTTATGTTGGAGATCCAAAGCAAAACTGGATTTTCGCCGTTTACTTCAGCAATCAGAATAGACTTGTAAACACCTCGTCCACGTGGCTTAAATGTCCCAACTTGAGAGACGAAGCCGTTGTTCAATAGGTGAGCCTTTAAATTTTCGATAATCCAATAACCCGGATCTCTGAGCTCAGTCTTGAGGTATAGCTGTCTGCCAACGGCAAATAATCCAGACGTGGCAATTCCACGCCTCCTGTTTTGTCGTATTCTCTGTAAAATGTAATTTTCGCATGGTTTTCTACAGCCCTACGACCATCCTGTTTTCTGTCTCATCAGGACAGTGGAGGTATAAGGACGTACAGATGAAATAGATGCGGCATGGGCTGTCACAACACTACCCTTTTCTCACACCTCAACGTGGGTCCACTACTTTTGAAACAAGGAGTCCTTGACTGCATGTTTTCAGTAGTGTTTTGCTCCTCTTCAAAAACACTTAGTCCAACAACAGATTGCATAAGAATCTACGTACTATTTTACTGGCAAAAAACCTGCTCTGCTGAGAAATTCGGCAAGTACCGAATTTATTTTAGCCCATTTGTGAAAAACTCGACGACGTCGGTGGGATTGGAACCCACGACAGCAACTGGAAGGCTTTAGTACATCAAACGGTCTAGCTTGCCAGCCATACATGAACTTGCTAGTCATCTGGAGGATTCTAGACGATTTAGGAAATTCTGCTTGGACAGCCAGCATACTCTATCCACTTTGGTGTATTCCATACCTTGCAGTAGGTTGGGCGGGAAGCAACCCAATTGTGGTTAAACTCACGGTTCACGGCGGGACCTCGTAGCTCAGGTAGCTATAGCATTGGCTGTATTAGAGCCTCCCTTTTGTTTTCGTGGGTTTCAGTCCCGCCAAGGTCGCCGAGTTTTTTACATTTTGGTCAAAATAAATTGCTCAAAATCTGCCAAAACACCTATCGGTAAGGAATTATCTGACGGTTCTTTGTTTATGCAACGTGCAAGGCGGTACGGAGATCCGTTTTATGGTTATTTCGCAAAGGGATTTTTGTTTGTCTTGGGAAATACTGGGGTGATAGTGAATAGGTCGTGTCACGTTTCGTGGTGCTTTCGTCCTGTTTCTCGTTAGTTTGTGTTTTTTTATCCTTATAGGTTGCTTTTTTGCCAGCTTCTGCTCCCCACTTGGTTAAGTCCTTCTTGAAACTCTACTTCCCTGAAATTCGCTCAGAAAGCGTCAAAGATTCTAGTGAGCTTTCGGCGCGTTGCATGCAGAAGGTCTTAGATGAAGGATCTTTTCCCCAGGCCCCGCCCTCGCCAATGAAGGCCCTTTTGGGTCAGACGATGCAGTCCTGGTCGAATTTCGCAGACCGCCTCTCCGCCCTTCAATACGTCGAACACCTCAACATCCTGCGGTCTCCCACATGCCCTCCTGTTTCTTCGTAATAACTTCGTCTCCACACCGCAACTCCCACTCACTCCTCCGCTCACCTTTATTGCGCATTTTGTTTATTTTATGCATTCAAAAACTGTTTTGTGATATCAGTCTTTGCCTTCTTAATTTCCATCTCGCAGTACCTCCGGTTTTAGGTTATCTAAGCGGATAACCGTAGACTCTTGATGATTGCAGGAGTTTGTAGGATGACCAACTTTTCCGATGTACCGGAACTGGCTGTGAGCTCGGTTGCACTGATTTGTAGCCTGTTGAAGGAGATATACACCAATACTGATCGCAAGGCTGTGGTGGCACCATCGCGGTCGCCGTGCCCCGATAGTCAAGCATTTTCCAATCCACGGGCGCTTGCCAAATGCAGTATGTCGCCCCTCACCTACCTCACGTTTTATGGTTCTTGGCTATGGCTTTGCTCGGTTGTTGGAAGGGTGCTTCTTGCGTGTCAGTTTACTTCCCTGTCGCTTACCTTTTTGGTTGACGTTCTGCCGTCCTCCCTAGACCCGTGTCCGGACCACACTGCATGCTTTTAAAAGGGAGCCCTCTTTTATCTACGCTCGTTCTATCTTACTGACCCCGCATACATATACAAGTCAGACCAGTGTAAAGAGTACCTCATAAAGCCTGTACATGCAATTCAGAGTTTAAATATGCTAGGAGTAAACAATAGTGTGATTTGTTATCCGAGGTTCTGGTGTCCGTGTTCCTTTTCCCTACCAAAAGACCCCTTATTTTCTTATGCCAAACATGCATTTTCTGGGCAGTAACAGGGTTGCGCAAAAGTCTGTTTTGTTCCTTGTAGATAAATTATTTTTCAATGGTTTAGAGGCTTTAAAACTGCACCGCATCTAAAGCACCGTAGGTTAGGTGTATGCCTCTCTCTCGTTTGTCACAACAGTCTGTTTCCGCAAGGGCCTTTAGGGTCTTCCCACCTCCTAAGATACATTGATTTTTTGCATGATACATGGGCTCTTTGCAATTGCTTTATTGTCTGCCGTCTTTTGCTCAGAGTTCTCTCCCCCCCATGCATTTGTTCTCTTGGTCTACAGCATGCCTGTTTGTTGTGGGTTTCGGGCAAGGTGTCTGCACGTCAATTGTAGAGCCCCAGAGATAGTTAATCTTTTCTGTTGATAGATATACAACAGTTGCGCTCTATGTGCTCCTCCCTACGCGAAGCAGTTCAGTCGCGCTCCGAGGTTTTGGTGGGCGAGCTGCGCAGTCGCGAAAGGATGCAACTATGGATACAGGGCAAATTCTGTAAGATAATGGCTCATCTCCGAAATTCGGGCCCATTTAAGGGTATGTTACAAGAATCTCCGCATCTTCAACTTTACATTGAGAGCAGTCAGTTAACTAGTACAGACGATCTGGACAGTGTTACTGGTTGTTGGGTGGCCAATATTCTCTATAACTGTTGTTGGTGCTGCTTCTGCTGCTTTCATCCCTGATGGTGAAATCCTGCACGGCTCGAAAGCTCGGAAAAATAAACAAATAATACTGGTACTCGACCGGTCTCCGCCTTCATTACCCATACAGTGTCTACTTTACGGAAAGTAGTAGGCAGCTGCTGAAAAAACAATTAGACGCTCGTACGATAAGCGGAGCACGCCGTCCACTGCGAATTCGCTGTGGTCTGCACAGACCGCTGCTCTTAGAATTTATGTTTGGTATACACCCTGTGCTGCGTCCTTCAACAAAGTCCGATTTAAGCACAGAGGCCACAGCTGGCCATCAGTTCATTGCGAAATATCCGTCGTCTGTTCTGCTTTGCACTTTTTTCTTTAGCGGCACGCTTACGAATACTTCGTTTCATTCGAACCTTATAGTTTGAGTAAGGATCTTTGTTTTTCCATCACCGATGCTGGCAGTCATTTCGGCTGTCTATCATAGTTTTGAGGATGGCAACATGATTCAGTTTCCTCGCTTTCGGGACATGAATTGTTTTGAACTGCTTTTAGTGGAAGACACTTCCGACCTCACACTAAAAAACGTCGAGTAAGGTAGTTCACGCTGCTGGGAGACTAAGGTTGCCTTTACTGCATTGAAAGTGCAAGGGAACATCGAGATTGCAATGTAAGCGGTCCCCCAGATGCTGGTAGTCCGAGATTCTGCCGTTAAGTATTTCGATTTCCCTAACTTGTATAGTCATTCTGATGCCGAATAACTTTGTTTTTTTGTTGTCACCCAACTGCAGAATATATGGTGTTTTGCTTGAATTCGCCTCGGCAATCGAAATGAAGCCTTGACCCTGTCCCGAATGGAAGAAGGTTGACACCAGTTGAGTGGATTGTTCATTTTGCACAGAATAACTTGGAGGGGGTTGGAGAGAGTTAACAGCCGGACGAGAGCAAGCCCGGCTCCGGGAGAGCGGCGTCCCAAATGTCCGTCAGATAATGCGTCAAAGCGCCTGAAGGCAGCCCACGTTCGACTCGGCCTTGAATCTGACTGGTCGATTGGAAGGCCGAGTGCGCCAGACAGCCCTGGTGCGCACGTGCAGACACGCGCGAGAAGCCCAGCGTTGAGACCGGCGCTCGGAGTACAGCCACCACAGGTCACCACAGAGACGAGGGATAGTCGGTTCGGATCCCAACTAAGTGGGAGTGCGTAGAGACCACACTGAGATGGAGTCCGGCTGTCCTGAGTTATCCTGTCAATTGGCAGCCTTCAAAGCCATGGCTGCTAGTGCTAGATTGTTTATAATGAGGAAATGCCTTGGGGACGGAGTCCCCATAGTCGGCCTCGCTCTCTGCCCTCTTCAAGCGCCTGTCCGCTGTCTGAGCCGATCGGTCACCTGATGTTAGAATTGGACGCAAATGGCTTACATAGACAGTCAACTCGTCTGTGCGTGTCCCATACAACCTGGTTCGCAGCACAAAACCCGGTTTTCACAAGAAGGAGTGGGCGACTCGGGCCTCATATACGTGAGAGGAGAGGGCCGATCGGTAAAATAACTTCATACATGTAATTTTTCCTACCAAAAGTGATCTTGAGGATTCCGAGTAGTTTTCATGTGTTCCTGCGCCTATTGTATGTTTTTTACCCAACGCTTACTTTAAATGACCTTATTTTAGACGCCACGTTATAAATCGTCGCGAACAGTTTCCACCGTAGGATATTTCCCATTTTGCTACAGACAGCCAAACTTTTTCCATTCATCGCATGGGTGAAACCAGCTCACATCTCTGTGCTCTTAGGCGTGCGGTGTATTGCGATTATTGAGATGTCAATTTTGGAAAAAACGTCCCCAAACTTGAAAAAAAGGCCACAGACATTCTCTTGCATGGATTGCTTATACTGTATTTGTTTTCGGCGGAAGTGAACTTTTTTTCTACTGACCTGCCCTAAGCTGTCTTGTATGGCGTGGGAAGTCCTCCCCCCCCCTCCAGAGCAGAAATTTAGCAGACTTGGAGTGAAGTTATTCCATTCTTTACGCTTCACTTAAACCATGTCAATATTTAAGCAAACATTTCGAGTCGTCACCGAAACGTTTTTTGGAGTAAGTAGCTATTAAAAGTGTTTTTGGCAACGCAGATTCCTCTCATTGCGAGTAATAGCACATTTTTGTAATGTGTACTTGGCATGCAGTTTACAGGGCCGAATTCGCGTTCGATCTCTGACAATGCCTGCGCGTTATCGTGCCTCCATAAGTTATTATTTTTTAAACTTTGGTCATCCACGAAGATATTAGCATATCTGACTTCTACTTCAAATCTCATGCGGTCTTTACTGGTTAAAGTATCCGTAGCGATCCATATCACGTCTTCTCCGACCGAAACCCACAGGAGGAATTTTTGGACAGGAAGTTGCAAGATACAATTCATACAGTCTAAATGCTCTTCGATAAGCTTATCCAGGGGTTGAGTAACGGACAAATCCAGAGAATGCGTCTTTCAGCGATCTTGTTTTCTAGGCTCATTGTCTTCGTGTACGCCCTAGGTTTGAGGCAGGAGTGCGTTCCTCCGCCCTACGCGTTAACACCCAAAGTGTCGCCAGCTCCCACTTATTAATGGGCTAGCTACTACTGTCGAATTCGCGTCCCAAATGAAGATAAATACCTTTCTTAAGAAAATGTAAGCCGGACGAAGACCGCTTTGAGGGCTAGGATGGTTCAATTGAACAAATTGCAGCCGTTTCCCGGCACTTGGTCTGCATCTTTGTGCTTCCTGGACGCATGGCCGAGTTTGACGATGCGGACTTTCTCTAAGCTCTTGTTCAGCAGTTAGGGCTGAATCTCAGACCATATAAAGTCTGCCGAGTTGGGATACATTCTGCGCACGCAATCCAACCTCTAAATTCGTCTTCTGTTCATCTATTTGATTCTTTCCGGTTGTTTTGATGATGACGGCCTACCCCTCTGCGTGTTTGAGGAGTCCTGCGACGTTTAACGTTCTTTAAATAGCGTTGTTCGCATTGAATACGCTGGAGTTCGGTGACGGTCCGTTGAACCGTATCTTCCTGGATGGCTTGCTTTTTTGGTCTATGCCAATCTTGGGGCAGTCCTGCGTTTTGTCTGAGTTTTCAGCAGACTGTCGTCTTTTTCAACTATTTAACAAGCAGCTGTCGGGTTCTGGGTAGTTTACTAAGTTTACCGTCCACTAGTGTTTACCTGCATGGGTAAATTTTTGGCTCAGTGTTAACTTGCGCACGACAAGCAAATATGTCATTTCCCTGCCACACGAACTAACTTTCCATCCCAGGGAATCACCGAGATGTGTTTTTGATCACTAACCCGCCTCCATGTAACCAACCGCCAAGCCTCAGTGCTGATTTAAGAAGAGTCCAACGTATGACTTAGCCTGCATTGCCCAATCTGTCTTCGTTTTTTGTAATTGAAATAAAGTTAGTCCACCATGTTTTACACATCTGCGGCAACCTGTGCCACGCGCCGTGCTCACTAGCAATTGATCCAACAGGCGTATAACGGAAGTTGTGTATGGTCATCCTGGGTAGCTCGGCAACTAAAATCCAATTACCAATGTCTTTCGGATTGCATGCA